AGTTGGTAAAATAACCCCCCACTGGTGGGAAATTTTCTTTAGCTGGTCCCCCACTGCCATCAGCAACTTCAACACGCTACTGCACCCTGTAGTAGTTATACCGTTAATGTAAATCTGTGTGTACTTTGCCCTAGTAGCGACTTGTTACTGGATGAACCCAGTGAAACTCTGCATTGAAAACTAGGTGCAAGGACTGAGGGTGGCCAAATACCTGCTACCACAGTCAAGGGCAAGACTGAGTTGGCCTCTGCGTTTGCCACCAAGAAGAACCTTTAGGTCTGCTGTTGGCTGCAATCCAGCAGGCGCTGAGCAGTGGGGGCACATGCCATGCCAGACCCTGAAGTGAGGGATGGCCTCCGCTGTTAAAAGAGGGTCATCCAGGAGAGAAGGGCAGGCCAAGCAGCCTGTGGTTGGCACGAGAGATGATCTAGTCTAAATCCCCTGCTCAAGCAGGGTCATCTAAAGCAGGTTTCATCATTAGCATAAGTAACTATTTAAGTAATAATAATATAATAAATAACTATCATATTTGAATCTTCTTTTCTCAAAGGTTAAAGTCAAGAAGCTGCTCTTGTGTGATTTAAGTTTTCTTAAGCAGAGAAGGGGATAAAAAAAGCCAAGGACTGTGTCTTTGGAAGTAATATTATCTATTTCCAGGTTCCCAAGACTCCCAGTATATCTGGTCAATGCATTGATGAAACCTTGTGTTTGGAGCCTGGACATCACCGCTTTGCTTTGCTTTTCCTCCATGTCATCTGGAGACTTGTTAACAATTTGTGAAGAACCAAAGACAAAGTGCTCGCCGCCTTGATCGTGCAAAACAAAATAGGACAGTGATTGTTTTTTTTTGCTTTTAGTACATTCGCATGGGTGTGAAGACTTCGATGGGGTATGTTGCATGAATTTAAGTGACAACTCCAGTTCAGTACATGCATAAATACAAAAGTTGAAGACCCTCGCTAACCAGCTAGCAGAAAACACCAGGTGGAAACCCTTTCAGAGATGGATGTGGGGGGTGGGACTAGCTGCAAAAAGCTGTTGCATTATTAGGGGTAATATGTATTGGGTTTTTATATATTTTATGTTCCTTGTCTTTTAGCACTAATCCATTCCCTTATAGACAGTATACTATATAAAACTGTAGCACAAATGGTAAAATATTTGTGTGTTCCAACCACGGACCACGGAGTGGAATGTGTCAGGGACAATACATAATGGTCCATGGTGCAACACAGAAAGATAGAAAAGTACTGTTTGTTTGCTTTGGCTCCTCCCCAGAAAGTCCTGCTTTGGTTCCTACCTGGAAATTTCCACTTTAGAACTCCCCAGAAAAGTCTCGACCCTTGGACACCTTTCCAGATATAGCTGGCCACTTCTTCCAACATAGGCTGGCCCCCTGCGTCAGAATGAGCGTGCATTTTTGTCAGCATAAAAGCCCGAGTCTCATGCGATGCGGGGGAGGCAGAACCTCATACCACCCAGGTCAACGCTGCCTTTGCAGGTATGCCCAATAAGGTTGAGCCTGCCACCTCGCACTGTGATGATGATTCTTGGAGCTGGTTTCCTGATCGTCTTTACAGGGTCATAGAATCACAGAATAGTTAGGGTTGGAAAGGACCTTAAGAAAAACTACTTCCAACCCCCTGCCATGGGCAGGGACACCTCACACTAAAACGTCACACAAGACTCTGTCCACCCTGGCCTTGAACACCGCCAGGCATCGAGCATTCACAACTTCCTTGAGTGTGAAATACAAACTCACTCCTCTAATAGAGATAACAAGGTTTTATTGAGTGACAAATCAATAAAGCAAAAGCAAGAGCGCTGGGCGCCTGACCGTAGCCAGAGGCGCACTGATTAACATTTGTTACAGGTTAATATACTTTCACTATTGCATTAGGCACATACATAATCATAATTCCAGCATATTGGTGAAGAATATTATAACTAGCTCCAGGAAGTTACTATCATAAGTCTCCTCCTCTTGGTGTCTGTGCACTGCTCTCTGGTGATTGTGGGCAGGGGTCTTGAGGATGAAGTAAGCAGTGTTCCTCTTGTGAGTAGGGGTCTTCAAGATGAAGTAAGCAGTCTTCCTCGCAGTGTACTTTTCACCTTTGGCACAGTTGAACACCCCACTAATCTCAGAACTAGCTGAAACCAGCCATATCTATAACTCTCCTGATAGTGGGCAAAGATTTAGAACAGTGTGACCTTCCTGCAAAATTTATTGCAGGACAGGAGTATGCAAAGCTAGCAGATGCTTGGGAGGCTCTGTCAATAAACTAACTGATAAGTAGAAGGATGGTGTGAAATAACTCATTCATGTTTAGTGGGGCCACTAAATCCTGTTATCTCACCACAGACTTACAACACAAACACTGGTCTTTATCTTTGACCTAAGTTAAGCTAAAAAGTACTTTAACTCTATTTTTTCCAGGGACTAGCTTTTCTTATATCAAGCCCCCTCCCCGCCCCTTCTTTCTTAAACCTTTACAAATTCTTTTGCTGTGTGACTCCATTTTGCTCAAGAGTTCTGGCCATTTTCAACTTGTTGTCTAATCTTGTGCCCTTAGCGAGCTTTTTTTCCGTTATTGTGAACTCATACAGTTATATCCACATAGCAACACCTATGATTTGCGATAACCAATACATTTACGTGTTTATCACATTGGGCAACCCATTCCAGTCAAATGCTTTGCACAAGTCCAGGTAGATGACGTCAGACTTCTCTACCCCTGTCCATCAGTTCCATAGCCCCATCACAGACGGCCACCAAATTGGTCAGGCAAGATTTCCCCTTAGTGAAGCCATGCTGGCTGTCACCAACCACCTCATTGTTTTTCATGTGTCTTAGCATGCCTTCCAGGAGACTCTGCTCCAAGATTTTGCCAGGCACAGAGGTGAGACTGACTGGTCTGTAATTCCCTTGGTCATCCATTTTCCCCTTCTTGAATATGGGGGTTATATTTCCCTTTTTCCAGTCATTGGGAACTTCACCTGACTGCCATGATTTTTCAAATATGATGGCCAGTGGCTTAGCAACTTCATTCGCCAGCTCCTTCAGGACCCACGGATGGATTTCATCAGGTCCCACGGCCTTGTGCACGTTCAGGTTCTTAAGATGGTCTCGAACCAGGTCCTCTCCTACAGAGGGCCTAGTGTCTTCATTCTCACAGTCCCCGAGTCTGTCTTCCAAGACCTGGGCGGTGTGGTCAGAGCATTTGTCAGTGAAGACCGAGGCAAAGAAGTCATTAAGAACCTCAGCCTTCTCCAAATCCAGGGTAGCCAGTTCTCCTGAGAGCTTCCGGAGAGGGCCAACATTGTCCCTAGTCTGTCTTTTATTTGCAGTGTAAATATAGAATCCCTTCCTTTTACCTTTCACATCCCTAGCCAAGTTTAATTCTAACTGAGCCTTAGCTTTCCTAAGCTGGTCCCTAGCTTCCCGGACAACATCCCTGTATTCTTCCCAGGCCACCTGTCATTGCTTGCTCCTTTTATAAGCCTCTTTTTTCCCCTCAGGGTTTCCTCAGCAGCTCCTTATCCATCCAAGGTGGTTTCCTGGCCCTCCTGCTGCAATACTCCTGAGCTTGTAGCAGGTGATACTTGAATATCAACCAACAGTCTTGGGCACCCCTGCCCTCTAGGGCTACATCCCATGGAACCTTACTGAGAAGGTTCCTGACGAGGCCTAAGTCTGCTCTCTTGATGTCTAGGGCAGTGAGCTTGTTGCACACTCTTCTTACTGTTCTGAGGATCTCGATCTCAACCATCTCATGATCGCTACAAGGAAGTCTGCCCTGGAGCATCATATTTCCAATGAGCCGTTCCCTGTTGGTGAGCATAAGGTCAAGCATGGCACTTCTCCTTGTCGACTCCTCTTTTACTTGCAGAAGGAAGTTGTCTTCCACACAATCGAGCAACCTCCTGTATTGCTTGTGCTGGGCCGTACCGTTGTTCCAACAGATATCCCAGGCCGATATTCAAAACCACAGCGCTGCACCAGCTACTAAGAAGGAGGAAAAAAATGACTGCTACTGCTGAACCCAAGACACAGGGGAAGAAGAAGGGAGGGAGCAAGCGAGCATCTGTGCGGTTCCGAGTTACAAGCTGGGCTTAAACTATGACAGTTCTTTGTGGCGCCCAACGTGGGGCACGAAGTGTTGAGATAATGACAGATCTGACCAGAGTGTGTCTAACCATATTTGTGAGAAGCATTCATTGTTTCGGATTAATAGTCACTCGTCACAATGCTGGTTTATTGGTTCTCAAAGTTGTTGCTCTTGATCTCAGAGTTTCAGCATGTCGTACCTTACTTACAGCCGATATTTGCTGTTTTAGTGATTATCAGCCTGGGGGCCTGGACTAGGGTTATTGTTTCACTGTACTTCATGGAACAATTTGGGAGCAATGAGGAACACCTGCTGCTCAACCACTGATATAGCCATGTCCTCCCTCAACTGGGCTACAGGCTCCTTCTTTCTCAGCAACATTAAACACTGCCCTTGCAGTCTCACTCCCACTGCTAAATGCTTAGTCTTGAGAGAAATTATCAAGCACAGCAAAGAGGCAGGTGTTAGTCTCCCACAAACCCCGCACTTTTGAGAAGCGGCAAAATGTTCTGGCCTTCCTTTGAGGAACATGAGCAGGTCCAATACTATTCACCCTCTTTCCCCAGCTACTGGCCACCTGTGAGGAACTTGACCCAGAGCTGGGAGCCACCCTCCTGCAGGTCTTAAGGTCCCCTGCAGCCATGGAGCTGAACAAAGAGCTGATCTGTTCTGAGGGACAGGCAGGGCAATAAGCAGCACACGGCCCAGCAAGTGCAAAACACCCTGCCTATCGCTGAAGGACCAGATAAGGCGTTACCTTCTTCACTACTGCTGTTCCTTTCATGTTACTTTTGTAAATAGTTCATTACAAGCCTAGGCATGAAGCTTTTTTTACAATAAAAAGTAGGTTACAAATTTCAGTTTAGACTTCATTTTGAGAATTATTTTTTTCTTTAAATCCAGAAAAAAGAAGTCTGCTTAAAGTCCACTCCACTGTCCTATGTACTCTTAGAGCCACATCTGGCCACTTCTGTACAGGCAGCAGCAGTTCCTTCAGGCAGGGAAGTCTGATTCTACAACTGTGTGCATGGGGAGAAAGGAGACCATGAAAGGATGCTGCTGAACATCCATCCCTCTGGGGTTAGACAGATGCTCAGTACAACACTGCTGAATCAGACACGAGCATGGATAATCACAGCATGAAGACAAGCTTTTTCTGAGCAAGCTGAAGCTAATTTCACTGAGTTCTTTGGGAGACTAAAACATAGATTAAAAACCTCTGCTCTGCCATATGGTTTCTACAGGGCTGGACTGGGAAATCTTCCCCATCCCCCTCAGGTGTGCTCCTGCTGTGCAGTCACTTCTGGCTTTACCACCTGGCTTTCTGAAGTCCCTGAAGTATTTAGGAGGAGAATAGGCTCTGGCTCCAGTGGCTTAGCTTTGTCCCGAACGTGGATGAGAGGGTGCACCATGGACATGTGTACGTTAAGGTTATGGGCTTTCTCAAAGCGCTTCCCACACTGGTCACAGGCAAACTCCAGCTCTGTCTCAGCTTTGTGTTTAGTCATGTGGTACTTGAGCGATGCTCGCTGCCTGCACTGGAAACCACAGATTTCACACCTGCAAGGCAAAACAGGGGCTCAGCACCAAGCCTGAAGCCATGGTTGTGGCGCTTGCACTTTGTTGCACTGAATAAGCCCACAAGACAGCCACAGCTTTGTAGTATTTCCTACAACCACCCCAGTCACCCAACACAATTCTCTCCTCAGGCTTGCAGCTTGCTGGTGGTAGCTGAGCACTCCCCTGCTCAACTCAGAAGGGCAACAGGATCAGAAGGATGTTTAAAACTTGCTCAACAACAGGATGCACATTTAAAGTGATTCAGCCAGGACACTACCACCTACTGGCAGGGTTTAGGTCACAGAATCACTCTGGGCTAAGGTCAGTGACTGCGAGGGCTCAGCAGAACTTCACTACCCTTCCCTCAGCTATGAAGGCAAGGTTGGTGTGCACTTACTGAAGGGGCTTTGCTCCCGAGTGCCGCATCTGATGGACTGAGAGGTGTTTGCGTTGCTTAAAGGTCTGCCCACATTCATCACAGATATAATTACGTGCCTCTGCAATGGAAAACGGAAGAGTCATCAATTCTGCTTATTTCTTCGTACAGGAAATGCTCATGTGCCACTGCCCATGCTTACTGCTGGAGTCTGAATTCCTCCCTCTGCCTCACATCCCCCACACTATGGCTTGTTCCAGGTTTATAGGCAAGGCAGACAGTTCTAAACCCCACACAGAGTTCTGCCACAGCACCTACAAGCCTTGTACAATCAAGTGTTGGGTGTTTGTGATGCCTGTCACCAGCCAGGACACACCTGTATGAATGAGCTTCACATGCCGCTGTAGGTACCGGTCAATCATGAACACCTTGTTGCAACCAGGATGAGGACAGGGCCTCTCCCGTACCTCTTCATGATGCTCTTTGATGTGTTTCTGTAAATAAAGGACAAAGCTTTTAAGCACTGGGTTGTATTTCCCCCAGCCAAAAACGTGAATCCCTCAAAAACCATCTTAGCAGACTCATGCATCAGTGCTGCTCCACTGTGAGAGACCAGGGACTCTGCCTCCTGCAGAGCAAGGCAGTGAATTAAGTCTCAGGGACCCTCTCCTTATGTGGAAGTGGTTCTGCAGTACTCAAAGCTACAGGTTTAGGAAACGAGCAAACCCTGACTCACCTTCATGCCATCAGCCCCTCTGTAGACAGCTGTGCAGCCCTGGTAAGGACACTTGTAAATGGTCGGCAGCTCCTCCCTATGAAGCACAGCCCAGCCATCAGCCAGCGTGCTGAGCAGGGGTACTGCCCAGCCACCCGCCTCCTTATTACCTCTCACACTTGATCTTTTTTTTCCAGCCAGGCTTAGGCCCTGGCTTCTTCCTTGTGTTGGGCTCTTCTGCCTTCTTTACTTCTTTGATGTTGCTTTTCTTGCTAGAAATCCTCCAAGAAGGAACAAGGACAGTGGTTCAATACTCAATTTTGGTTTTAGTCCTCCCACCTAATTGTCCCTGAGTGTCTGACAGCTTTGCCTGATGCTTGGCAAAGCAGGAGCATGTGCACAAGCTGAGCTGTGGGCCTAGAACTGAGGAATGAGTTCAGGCCTGACAGGGAGCTCATGGAACAGAGGCATCACTGTGACCTCCAAGCAGGAACATGCAAGAAATGGAAGCCCCAAAGAACACAGTGTTAGCTGAGCAGAGCCTATTGTGGAGCGGGCACCAGCCCTCCCGCTCACCCATGGAGTGCTCTGCTTATCACACTGCGAGACCCTTACTTCTTCTCAGGGTAAGGCTCAAAGGAGTCATCTGAAGACTGCACGTTTCTTTTCTCGTTTCCATCGTCACTCAAGAAGTCCCTAAGAGAAAGAAGATGCCCTTAACCCACACAGCACCACCCTGGTACTTCAGCACCAGCATCTGCAGCAGCAGCACATGTTCTCCATTCCCAGCACATCCATCTTCCCCACAGCATGGCAGCTGAGGTTCCACATATCCTCCTCCCTCATAAGCTCCCCAAGCAAATACAGCACTGGTGCACACAGAAAATAGTAAATTTGGGTTCTTTTAGGTCTAGATCTCTGTAAGAATAACTGAACTGCTGTCAGGAGAACAAAAAGTAGATGTTACTGAATAGGTCTATTGGTTGTTGAGGGATGCTGCCACCATTTTCAATACTGGGAAAGTAAGTTCCTAGATCAAAATGTAATATAACTGTCTGGTGCAGGTTAATTAAGCTGCAAGTCATTCTGTAGTTCCTCATACATAGCAACCACATAGGTTTGGGTTTTACTTTTTCCTCCTTTTAAGTCCTAAGCCATACAAGAAGCAATTAATTCAGAAGCCAAGAAACAGGCAATAAATTATTGTGGCACTTTTAATGTGACAACCAATGGATTTAGCTAACATACTAAAATAAATCTGCACTGAGCCATACTTCAGACTCTGAATGACTGGACCCAGTTCTCAGTTATTTACAAGCCTCACTTTAAATACCAATGTTTGAAGGATTTAGCCAAATCTTTGATCATAAAGACTGCTAAGCTGCCAGTGTCCCTCTCACCTCCCATTTAATCACTCTCCAAGTGCCACCCCTCACACTGACTGCTCTTCTGGAGCAGCCATGAAGGAGAATTGCTCCAAGGGGCTGGAGCAGAAGGACCCAGGCCTGAGCAAACCCCTACATTGTTCCTTCCCCAGAGCAGGGAATGAAACAGGACCAAGTTTGCTGGAAGCAGACAACACAGAGAGCACATGTGCATGCAAAACCACACACCCCACTGTGCAAACTCCCCCCTCCCCCCCCACTGCAGTGCAGGTGGCAAGTTCAGCACATCAGTGGTGTGAACTCCATCCCACCACTGCAGAGCCACTGCTCTGTGCCTCCAACACTGGTTCCAAGGGGCCTAAAGGGCCAGGTCACTGGTGGAGAAAGAGCTCTCTGAGGTGCACCAGGTCATACTCGCAAAGAAGACATTTACGCTATTTTAAACCCACTCTTCTCTCACCCCTCAGAAAGGTCACTGAACTCGTCTTTTACCCGCTCATCCAATGTTGCGGACAGAATCTGCTTCCCACTCAACTGTCCTAGGGAATGAAGGAGAACACGGTGCATTATAAGGAAAAGCAGCAAAACCAAGCTAGAAGAGACAGCTGCCAGGAAGGAACTGGCTGCTTCAGGTTCCCTCAGCATGGCCCACACCAAACTATGCATTCCATGACAAGTTAATGATTATTTAAACCAAACTTCATGTCTCACACTCAAGGATGGGAGAGCCTTTACCCTGCAGTTCCCCTGAACATCTTTTGATTTCCCCCATGACACCCAAAAGACTCATCCCTCAGGGAGTCCCAGTTGCTGTTCCCCTTTCCAGCAGTGGCTGTCAGAGCTAAACAGAGCCTGACTTCTGTAACTCAGAATCAGTGTTAATTTAATTCTTCTCTTCTAGAAGTGGTACTGGGGGGGGGGGGGGGGTGTGACATTCAGCAGTAAATCCACAGTAACTCGACTCATGAGCCCAGCAACTTTCCTTTGCAGAGAGAAGGGGCTCCTTCTGTTCAGCATCACCCAAGGTGGGTCAGGAAGCCCCTCCTTGCCTGTATATGGATGGGGCTTGGATTGAGCAGAAAGAAACATCTGGCAAATACAGTGCTGGAGAACCAATGACTGCTCTGCATCATGGCAGTCTCTGGGGACGGGATGCAGCCCCACCACTGCTCGCTCCCTGGGCCAGTTCTGTGGCTCCTTGCCCCCCAGATGCCTGGGGGGAGATAAGAAGGCAAAATCCCTTACCTGTAGCATTGCTCAGTGGTGACCCAGGCTGCGGCAGGGCTGTCTCTTGCAAGGAGACCATGCTGTCCAGTTGAGAGTGAAATGAATCCCTGTTCTGCAGTGACTCATTCTTCATGTTCAGTGGCACTGATGTGGTCCCCTTGTTTGCAGGCTGCTGGCAAGGAGTTGTCCTTACTGAAGCATGCTGGGGTTTGGGAGCAGAAACAGCCTTGGCATTGTCTGCCTCTGCCCCACTGTCAGTTAAGTGCTGTGCTGTGCTTTTGTTCCACTCTTGCTTGACAGACAAGGCGCTGTTGACAAGCACTGTGCTACAGTACGAATCTGTGTCCATGATGTAGTCGTGGCCACTGCCGCAGCCCCAGATGGCATGGATGATGCCACAGTACTCAGAGGAGAGCACACTCTGCAGGCTGGGCACTGATGCACAGCTCCCAGCATGCCTGTGCGTCCATGACACCAGACTGTGCAGGCACTGCAGGCTGGATGTGATCGGGTCAACTGTTGGAAGGAGAGGCAGCACATGCATGGTCAGTCAGTCCCTGGGACAACCAGGGACACAGCCACCCGTGTGGAGGGACACACTCCCCCCAGGAGGGGACAGGGCTGCAGACCCACTCCCCCAGGGCTGTGGGAGACAGCAGGTGAGAGACCCCCTAAAGATGGGCTGGGGCAGCCCCAGTAGTTGCCAATATTGATAATTATATAGTGGAAAGTGTATTTCTGATTTTCCCCCATGTCTGACAGTGGCAGGGACAGGCCTGGTGCTGCTGCCCACATCCTCTCTGCCTACTCTTCATGCCACCAGCGTGAGCCTGCACCTGTGCAGCTCTGCTTGGGGAGCTCCTCAACACCCATAAAACCCAGACCTGTGCTGATAGTATTACAGAAAGGGAAAGGAAAAAAAGGGAGAAAGGAAGGGGGGAAAAAAAGGGAAAGGGGGCAAGCACTCACCCATGCAGGAGGCACTTCCTTCCATTCCCAGCTGGGCCTGGGCCATGCTGCTCCTGTAAAACCCAGAACAGCACAGTGGGGTCTCAGGGGTTACGGAGGGACGAGGCATCAATACGTGGCAACTTACTGCTCCCAGGAAGCAAGAAAAGCAACATACTTTCCTTTGGACTTTGCATGATCTGTGGGAGATGCGTTCACCCTCTGGATGAAGGTCCTGAGGATGCTTTGGCATTTGTAGAACTGGGCATGGCACTTCTTACAGACAAACTGGGGGAGCGTGGGGTCCTGTCGCACAGCCACGCCGACCAGCCGCTGGAAGTCCATGAAGAAGACCTGATCCACACAGCACTGCTTCTCCGAGTTTTCCCCCATCGCTGACACCTTCCCGAAAGCATTGTGAAGGCTCCTGGAGGAGAACTTCCCATGGCAGAGACGACAATACCCAGTGCTCAGTGCTCTGCCAATTCCTGCCAGAAAAGGGAGTACCAGCTACAGCCAGATGGCACCAGCATGTGGGAAGACATTCCCCTTCCCTTGATCCAGGCTGCCTCCAGAGTCCCATCTTCAAAATAAGAATGGAAAAACCAAGCAGGAAGCAAGACACCTTCCCTGTGACCCTTTCCCTGCAGACCAGGACACTGCTCTGCAACTGGTTGACCCCCAAATCAGCCTCTGATTTTCCTGGCTGCCCCTGCAGAGGAACCTCCTCCCAGTTGTAGCATTCCCAGGACTCATGCCAGCACGTTTGTGCTTTTGCATCCCTTGGCTTAAACAGATCTTCTCCCTCCCTAGCATTTATCTCCAAAGTACTTATAGCGAGTGGTGGCAGCCCTCAACCTGAGAGGTGCCCAGCAGCAAGCAGGTAGCTGGGATGTGCCACAGGACCATCCCGGTGCAGTGGGGCAGATGCAGAGCAGCTCTCCTGCTCCCAGTTCGCTGACTGCGCTGCTCTCCCACCTGGCAACATCTTCCCCATCCCATGGCATCCCAGCTTTGCAGAGCATAGCTCCATCCCTCCGTTGTGCCATAATGGAAAATTCCTGGAACGCTCTGCACCCTCCGGGCCACCTGCCCAGGCACGGGTCCCACCTGCAGCACCCAGTTAATCTTCAGATGCCCAACTTCGAACCGTTCCACATTCAAACTTATCTCCCACCGCAGCCGCACGGGCTCGGTTATCGGCTGCCGCCAAATCACTGGCAGCACCGGAAAATGGAGGGAAGAATCAGCTCCCACCCGCTCGCCCTGCCATACTGCCCCAGCCCCTCTTACCTCGTCGGTTACTGGCACCGGGAGCCTGTACTCCTTACAAGTGAAGACGCTCTCCACAAACCGGCAACCCCAGGCCTGTTTTCCGGTGTACCGACCCCGGGAGCTGCGGTCCGCGCCCCAGCCGAGAGGAGAGGCGGCGGCAGAGCTCGGCGGTGTCCAGCCTTACACCCGCCAGGACCAGCCCGCAGTCCGTACCGGTGGGTGCCCGCGGGGTGAGGGACTGACCTCTCGCTCCCGTCTGCTGGCTTCCGCCCCAGGGCGGCCCCACCACCCAGTTCCCCCCGCCCCGGCCGGACCTCGCTTCACCTGCCTCCGGTGCTCCGCCGAGGACGGCGGGCCGTGTCCAGGCGGCACCCGCTGGGACCCACCCCGTGAAGGACTTGGACTGCGACGCCGCCTCATTCCCGCGAGCCATCGTACCAGGAAGCTGCCGAGGCCCGGAGAGCTCCGCATCGGAGCCGCCCGGGACCGCCAAGAACCGTCCGCGCAGATCGCGCTTCATCGCCGCCGCGGGCCCGGCCCAGCCCCACCCGGCGCAGCGCCCCCTGTCGGCTGGAGGACCCCGGGAGCCGCTGGCGGCCGCCATGGTCGCGGCAGGCTCAGCGGGCCCCGATGGGGCCCGGGGCAGGCCGGGCCCTGCAGACCGCCATTAGGGCGGCGAGTGGCGCCCTGGAGATGGGTAGCGCCGGCCGGACACGAGTGAGCGGGCGGCGGGACTCCCCGCGCACCCCGGGCCCGGCCTTCCGTCGGGTTCCTCCGGCACAGGCGGCACTGGGAACGCCGGATCCCTCCAACTCCATGGGGTGTCCGGAGGTGTGTGTCTCCCCGGACCACCCCCCGCCCCGCCCAGATCCCAGACACCCCGGGGATGGGCACGATCCTGCCCCCCTCCCTGGCGCAGCTTGGCCCCTCGTCGGGTTCCATGTTCCATTGGCCACCTCAGGGTTCCGTGTTCCCCTTGGGGAGCCTCGGCTCAATCCCCATCTCTCTGGCAGGAGGCCTACGTGGAGTACCTGAAGAGTATTGACTTGCGGAGAAAGGACTTTACAACCAATCAGCCAATTAGAGTTGTAAAGTAGGTATGTTTATTCAGCGCTGGGCGGCACAGAGATATCCCACCAAAGTCGTGAGCGCCGCAGCCGCCCATCCTTCAAACATATATAGCATTGTGGCTACATATTCATGAGACCACCTATACATATTCATAACCTGTCCCCACTTCATATGATAATTAGTATTTCCATAAACTCCTCCTGCACAGTGCTTTTTGTAAGTGGTCATAGGGGGTCGTGGGGATGAAGGCTAGCAGCTCTTCTTCGTCATCGTAAGTAACCTTTTGGTCTTGCGCAGGCTCAGTTACTCCTTGGATCTTGCACCTGTTCTCTTCTTTTGCTCAGCTCAGTCGCCCCTTGGATTGGCTGATCTTATCCCAAAAGTTACAAATGTAGCTAACTTTTCATAGGTGTCAAGTCCTGCACTTTGTTAACCTTTAGGTTGCACTAACAATGCGATTAAGGTATATTATTACTAATTACATTAACAATGCGAACTAATTACCCAACCAGCAACAAGTTTTAAATCTTAGGACTCCCCTATCTCAGCATCACTCTCATTGTGCAGGCCCTGCAGGAAGAGGCGGCATGTAAAGCACCCGGGCCTGCTCCTTTGTCCCCGCTAGTGCCTTCTCCATCGCAGAACGGTCTGGGGCCAGTGTCACTGGGGTGGGTGACCACAGCACCCTGCTCTCCTCGCAGGTGGGATTGAGGGGGATTACCCCGACACCCCAAAGATGGTGAAGCTTGCGGAGCAGTGCCTGGGGAGAGTCAAGTCCATTGTAGTGGCACTGGGTGAGTGAGGGGCTGTGGGTCCCGCTCCGGGGACCTGGAACCCCATCCCAGGTGGGAGTAGGGCTAGTGGGTCACAGCTGACTTCCTCCCTCCCCAGGGAAAGCCCAGGCCAATCCGGCTGTGCAGGGGGCCCTGGCTCCCCTCCCCAGGCACTGCAGTGTTTGCTCGGATGGGGGGGGGGGGAGGGGGAGGGGTGGGAAACTCTTTTCCTTCCTACCCCCAAAGATCTTCCAGAAGCTGCAGATCACTGAGGCACAGAGCATATGGAAGTATGTGAGCTTGGACACGGGGAGGGGGGGGGGCTGGTGTTTGCCTCACACCTGCCTAGGGGGCTAGGATGGGCCATCCCCAGGCTTTGGCTTTGCTGGGTAGGGGGAACAGCAGGGAAAGGGCCCTGGCATTTGTTGCCGTGTCCTGCAGTGGGTCCTGAGGGCAGGGAGTTGATGCTGCTGGAGGCAGCATCTCTGCAGAAGTGGAAGCTGAAGACTGCAGCTGAACCTCAGCAAGGCCCTGCAGAAGACCTCCCTGGCAAGTGAGGAGCTCCCTGGGTGGAAAGTCAGGGCAGGCTGGGAGGGGAGAGGGATCCTGGGGTGCCTGAGGGACCCCCTGCTCCATGCTGTCTGTGCTGGTGGCTGTGGCCTTTGGGCAAATGTCCCCAACACGTTGCCTGCTTTACAGATGCTGTCCCTGCAGCTTCAGATGGTGGAAAACCTGGTTATTGCCAAGGCCCAGGAGGAGACTGTATACTTCCTAGCTGTCCTGGGTTCAGCTGTAACAATTATTTTTCTCCTTCTTAGTAGCTGATGCAGTGCTGTGTTTTCAACTTTAGTCTGAGAACAATGCTGATAATGCACTGATGTTTTCAGTTGTTGCCAAGTAATGCTTACTCCAATCAAGGACTTTTCAGTCTCATGCTCTGCCAGGGAGGAGGGGCACAAGAAGCTGGGAGGAAGCAGAGACAGGACACCTGACTGAAACTAGCCATAAGGGGTATTCCATACCACAGCACATCATGCCCAGGACATAAACTGAGGGGAGTTACAGATTGCTGCTCAGGTCAGGCTGGGTATCTGTCAGTGGGCAGTGCGCAATTGTATTGTGCATCACTTGTGTTTATTGTTTTCTTTTTCTTTTCCTCTTTTAGTTTTATTTTCTCTCCCCTTGTTATTTCCTTTATTATTATTAGTGGTAGTAGTAGTGGTTTTGTATTATACTTTAGTTATTGGACTGTTCTTATCTCAACCTATGGGGTTTATGTTCTTTTCATTCTTCTCCCCATCCCTTTAGGAGTGGCAGGAGAAGAAGCAAGGGGGATTGAGCGATTGGCTGCATGGTTCTGAGTTACCAGCTGGGCTTAATCCACGACACCAGCATTGAGGGTGTACTGGGCTCCAGCAGAGCCGCATACCTTCCAGCTCCAGTGCCTGTGCCCCATCCCTGGGCTGTACCGATCCCCCACAGGCTTTTGGGGTCCTGCTCCTGTCTTGCTGCCTGCTGACTGGGAGGATGAAGGTGGGAGAAGGGTTGAGCCCAGCCCCTAGGCTGCTGGGGCTGTGCTGGGCAGCAGGTTGTGCTGGGTGGTGGGTGCTGCAGTGGTGCAGGAGCTCTAGAGCCTTAACTCTGCCATGGCCCAGCTGCAATGGAAGATGGAAGAGCAGCGGCTGCAGCTGCAGGAGGCTGCCAACAGGTATAGGGGGTGTCACAGCAGGGACCCTGGGGGCCACCCTGGCAGTGCCCTCACCTGGGGCCATTCCACCCCCAGGAGGTTCTCCAGCAGCATGGACCTCATGCCTGAGGAGCAGGAGCAGAGCTCCCTCTACACCACCATCCTCAAGTATGAGCAGGACCATGTGAGTATATGTCGGAGGCTGCTGTGGGGACAGAGGTCTGTGCTGTGGGTGCAGGATGTGTGCTGGCCTTGGGTGCTGTGGGGCAAGAGTCCTTGATGCCCCTGAGTGCTTCTCGTACAGGGTGCTATGCCATGGGGCAGGGTGCTGTCTTTACTGATGTTCCCCAGGACTGGCTGAGGCAGTGGAAAGCCAGGCTGAAGCGGAGCCCAGTGGATCTCTCCCTGTTGTCAGGGCTCTTCTCCTGCCTCCTCAGGTAGTGCTAGGGTGGGGAGGGGCCCTTCTCGGAGCTAGGGGGCTGCTTGCTGGTGCCCCCTGCAGACCCCTTCCTGTGCTTTCAGCTTCCCGAAGCACCCCATCGCCCAGCTCCTGCAGCCAGCTGCAGTGTGCGGTGTACACCCGCCTCTACCCAGCCGTCACCTGGGGCACTGCCGACACCACTGTAGCCTCCCCCACCGGCCTCTCCTTCCACTTGCTTGGACCCAGGGGGGGCGCTGGCTCTGAGCCTCCCAAAGCTTCTACCACGTGTTCTTGGTGCCCGAGCATGGCGCAGTTGGGCGGCAGCACAGCCTCTCCAGCAAGCCCCTCACTGTTGGCCCCAGCACCCCAACGGTAGAGGGCAGCTGGCCAGAGCCAGCAGCAGCCCCCCAGACCCCCTGGGAGAGCTCCTTCGAGGACCTGGAACAGTTCCTGGCATCGCCCAAGGGCTGGGCCCCCAGGGAGCCCCTGGCTGGCCTCAGGACAGAGGTGATGCTGCTGGAGCAGCTGAAGGGCATCGTGTGGGACATCCACAATGCCATCGGTGAGGGGTGGCTGCTGGGATCTGGGGGCTTTCTGGGCCTGGGCAGGGCTCTTCCCCTGTTGTGGGCTCTCTGGGGGAGCAAGAGGATCCCTGTACCCTGTTGTTTTAGCTGGAGCAGACTTGGGGTCAGGATGGATTGGATGGGTGGTCTCGGGGGACACCCACCAAGAATGCTGTGTAACTTGTCCTTTCCCAAACAGGCTGTTGTCCCTGATGCTGCTGGCCTTCAAAAGGCTGAACACAGCCACCAGCAAGGACCAGTGCCTGGCCTGCCTGGAGGAGGCCTTTTTCCCAACACTGTGGGCCCTGCTGCTGGCTCTGTAGGTACTGAGGCCCTGGGGCCAGGCCAGGCCCCTGCAACCCCCTCCCTGGCAGCCCCTCGCCTCTGCCTGCAGGAGTGTGCACCAGCTCCATGAGGCAACCCTGGCCCACAGCATGGAGCAGCACTGGCATGTCAGCACCATCAACATGGAGCTGGCATCCTGGCTCTTGCCCCTGGCTTCCCCGTGTACAGCTCTGCCATTGAGGACCTGTGACTCATCCCTCTGGAGACTTATGCATGCAGGAAGCTGGAGTGCATTGGTGAGTGGCTGGGGGGGGGCAGGCTGGTAGTGTTACTGCAAAAGTTGGTTGGAGAACCTCTCTAAGACTCAATTTGGAGTTTTAGAAAGCAGCATTCTTTATTGCAGTGCTGGGCTCACACACAGATCATTTCTCAAAGGTGAGTGCACTCATTACTTGCTGGCAGCAGCTGTATATTTAGCATACTCATGCATATTTACAGTTTTTTCCAGTAA